CGGAAACCGCAAAGTGTCCTACCTCGGGTACACGGTGGGGAAAGGGCAAATAAAAACCCCTCGTGAATAAGATAGAGGCAGTCCGAGACTACCCCCTTCCAACAACAAAAAGACAGGTATGTCAATTTTTAGGACTGGCTGGGTATTATTGGCAGTTCATGGCAGGATTTGCATCATTAGCAGCTCCGCTCACAGACTTGATGACAAATGGTCAGCCCCAAGAGGTATGATGGACAGAGCACAATATCCAAGCCTTCTGGACATTAAAAGAGTGGTTCGTTAAGGCCCCGGTACTAATCCAGAATGACTTTTCTAAACCTTTTATTCTTCAGACAGACATGTCCGAGGTAGGGCTGGGGGCGGTACTGGCCCAAGAAATAGAGGGAGGGAAGCACCCTGTGTTATATATCAGCCATAAGCTGCTCCCTCGGGAGAAAAATTATGCAGCCATACAAAAGGAGGCCCTAGCAATTAAATGGGCCATAGATGCACTAAGGTATTATCTTTAGGAATGTCTACACTACCACCCTAGTTCGAACTAGGGTGGTAATGTAGGCATACCGCACTTGCAAATGAAGCCTGGGATTTGAATTTCCCGGGCTTCATTTGCATAAGCCGGGCGCCGCCATTTTTAAATGTCCGCTAGTGCGGACTCCGTGCCGCGCGGCTACACGCGGCACGGAGTCCGCACTAGCGGCCATTTAAAAATGGTGGCGCCCGGCTTATGCAAATGAAGCCCGGGAAATTCAAATCCCAGGCTTCATTTGCAAGTGCGGTATGCCTACATTACCACCCTAGTTCGAACTAGGGTGGTAATGTAGGCATACCGCACTTGCAAATGAAGCCTGGGATTTGAATTTCCCGGGCTTCATTTGCAAGTGCGGTATGCCTACATTACCCTCCTAGTTCAAACTAGGAGGGTAGTGTAGACATACCCTTTTAGGGAACCACTTCAAATTACTGATGGACCATGCACCGCTAAAGTGGATCCAGACAATGAGAGACATGAACACGCGAATCATGTGCTGGTATTTATCTATGAAGCCATACTGTTTTGATGTAGTGCCCTGGCCGGGGGCAGTGCACCAAAACGCTGACTTTCTGTCAAGGATCCCAGAACGAGAGAAGGAGTTGAGGGGCAGCATAAGGAGGGAGGAGTGTGACGGGGTGAAGCAACCACACACCAGACCAGGGCTCCATGAACTACAGTGTGACTGGGTAGAGCAACCCCACACTCGAACGGGGCCCCGTGAACCGCGGGAAGCAGAGCGAGACGAGGAGGATCGCCTCGGGACAGTGGCCAGAGAAGCGGCTCGGGACCCAGGCGAACGGCCAACTGGGTCCAAAGAGGGGACTAACGGCACAAGTGTGGTAAGCACGGGGCCGGCAGGAGAAATGGCTGCTGGTTGATGATGTCACCTGCCGGTGTGGTGGGGACGTCACCACACACTTGCGGTAGTATCGTGGGGGTGGGATATTCAAAAAGGAAGCCTGCCGCTCTGGAAGGGAGGAAAAACTGGATGGAGCACCAGAGGAGCCAGGAAGTAGGCAGAGAAGGTGGGTAGGAAGTGGCCCAGGGCAGGGTCATGGAGCGCGCGGGCTGGCGCATTTAGGGGCAACTCCCCCATCAGCCAGGCAAGGGATACAGATATCCCTGCCTTAGGGCCCAGGGGTGGGAGCTGGGTGTGAGGGAGGGCCCGGGTCCCCCTACCCCGCCATCTCTCCCCCAACTGATCTCCAGTTGCTGGAGAATTGCAACGATAGGGACGGAAGCTAAAAGGAACAGAGGTCTCGGAGGGTGTCCTCTGACCATGACTTGTACCTATGCTCTTTAACTGTAATATGTAACAGGAGGGACATGAGTTTGTAAGCAGCTTTCCCTCAATATTCTATGAAAACAGCCAGTTCCTGTGTACTCCAACTGGAGTGATCTTTTAGTTGATAAAAATAGCTCTATAAAGCTCGCAAGGGGATGTCAGCTAAAAGACAGTGAGCAGTATCTGTGGCTGGAGCCTCCAAGTGAAATATACTATACAGACAGAAATTGTTAATATTTGAAATTGAGAGAATCCATGCAATGAATGGATTATGTAATTTTACAATGCTTCTCGGGAGTGTGGTAACAAATACAAATGGAAAACGAATTGAATTGATGAAAATAAAAGATTGGCTGCATCCTGCTAGCCAGGGAAACCTCCAGCATGGGAAGGGCTCCAGAGCATAGAGAGCCGATGTAGCTGGATCCTATATTGCCACTTCTATAGCCCCGGATGCAGGTGCAGGTGAGGAGAATGGGGGAGGGGCAGTTGGAATGCACTGTACTCCAGCTACTCTCAAGTGCCTCTTGTTAAATAAAACAGCCAGTCCCAGGCCTGGACTGGTCTAACCTGCACTGAGGCTAGACTGGGAATAGGGAGCATAACTGGCTCCAGGGCAGCCCCCACCCTTCTTTAATAAGGGCAAAGACGAGAATCTGGCCCTGTTTATTTATTTACATTATTACAGTTTTCTTTGGCAGGGATAGCCCAGTGGTTTGAGCATTGGCCTGCTAAACCCAGCACTGTGAGTTCAATCCTTGAGGGAGCCATTTAGGGACCTGGGGCAAATCTGTCAGGGATGTTACTTGGTCCTGCCATGAGAGCAGGGGACTGGACTTGATGATCTCTTAAGGTCCCCTTCAGCTCTACGGGTATGTCTACACTACCACCCTAGTTCGAACTAGGGTGGTAATGTAGGCAACTGGTGTTGCAAGTCTAAGACGGTGTGTTTCTTAAAAGTGGGAAAATTTCACCTTCAGTAAAATTTGTAAATACTTAAAATATTATTTGTACATTAAGACACTGGCAAAGCTGAAAGCAATAGCTTTTACAGAGCTATTTTTCAGTTCCAAAACTTGCAAATGTGTGTGCCAAGAGATGGATTTATGACTTTGGAACTCCAAGCAGCAGCTGCCCATCTGCTATGTCTAGTTTCAACATCTAATACTATTTTTAAAGAAACATATTAAGAAAAACACCAACACAAATCTTTTCTGAACATGCTCAGAGCATCCTAGATTACTAACATGGAAGATCTGATTTACTTGTCATTATTTTGGTTGTTCATTCTTTTTTTACTTTTCATTCAGCTTGGATAATAAAGAGAGACAAACATATTGGCAGTTTCAAATCATTTATTGCCAATGACTGCAAGATAAGAGCATCTAGTGTTTTCTCTTCTGCTGTCTGGAGGCTCCTTGCAGAATTCAGGACACTGCCATCAATGTTAGTGGGCATGTCAGAACTGTACCCCATTCGGGCACTCAGAAGGCAGAAGGTGAGGGCCTGCAAGAGAGCTTAAGAACTTTTGGGGAGGGGAGGCATAGATGCACACAGGGCAGTTCGAACCAAACCACAAAATACAGAAAAATACCCTGATTGCAACTAGATTCACTTTTCCTTTACTTCCAATCTTTTCTTTATTTAGTCCACTTCCATGCCCCAAATTCCTTGGAGGCATGGTAGTCCTGTCTGAGTTTAAATCATTCTGTGTTTTTCAACTCCTGGTTTTTCTCTCCCACACAAAGAAAGCAGGCAAAGAATCTATATCCAATTCAAATTTCAACCCTCTATCTCAATTGGTTCTCCTGACCCCCTGGCCAACACCTTTGCTAGCTACCTGAGTTTAACCCCTTAGTCACCAGATTCTGGTCAGCACTCCTTCTGTCCATTATATGGAGATTGTGCAATTCTGTTTTCATGGGTACCATAGAATAATGCTTATGGATTTGATCCTTGGGCACCTTGAGGCTATTGCAATCAGTGGGAAATGAAGGTGTTCAACTCCCTCAAGCCTGAAACTCAACAAGTATCTTGAAGGGAGGACTCAGATGTGTAACTTTGGGAAAGTAAAGTTTGGTAGGCAATAAATGTAGCACATATGCATTTAATATTGTTCCTGTTCGCTTTGATTTTCTTTGTTGGTAATGAGAACAATTATTTCACATTACTCATTTGTAACCACAAATATTTCAGAACATGCATGATACTAGAAGTACAAGGCCAAATTTTGCTCTCTATTACGCCAGTGTAAAACTGACTCAATTCTGTTGATTCCATTAGGGCACGTCCACATGGCAGGGCAAAGGTCGAATTAAGCTACACAACTTGAGCTATGTCAGTTGCGTAGCTTAAGTGGAAATAGCTTAATTCAGCTTTTGATGCTGTCTACACAACAGAAAAAAAACTTGTCCTTCGACTTCCCTTCTGCTTTGTGAAATGAGGGTTACAGGAGTCAGAGTAAGAAGTCCTCCAGCTCGACAGCATTTCAAAATAAAGGCTTGCTGTGTAGATGTGTTCTTTGTTAATTCGGAATAATGTTAGTTATTTCTGAATAACGCTGCTGTATTTCCATATATTATTAGTTACAGAATATCTCCAAACTGGGAACTCTCTATAGGGCACAACCCTAATTGTATAATTCTGTTTTCAAGTCAGTCTTACCCTGATAAAACCTAATTAGAAGCCAAAAGGAGTTTTCTTGAATTAAGACCTACAGTATTTATAATTTCTACAGCACCTTTCATTCAGGCTAGAATAGAACACTTACAAATCTCCTATAACAATAGCAGTTTCATAACATGTATTATGATATCTCTATATTCTGATCAGATTACAATATCATTGAATGTATTTAATCTAAAATGAACATTTCATTACAAAATTCTTCTTAGAAATGCTGTTTGCAGTGTTGTTTTAGCTATATTGGTCCCAAGACATGAGAGAGATAAGTGGATGAAGTAATATATTTTTTTGTACCAATTTCTGTGGCTGAGGGAGAGGTTGGTCTTCTTGTCTCTCTCACCAACAGAAGTTGATCCAGCAAAAGATACTTTCTCAAAGTTGTATCAAAAAATAAACAGCAGTGGAGGCTAACAAAGCCCAAACACACAGCCCTGAGGAATCCTAACTTAACTTATTTAGGCAATTGTTTCATAGAGAAATCAAAACAAAAATACTTACATTTGCTGGCAAAAGCAGCCAACATTTGTTTTCTCCATCTGTGTTCTTGTGGGTCTAGGCTGTAGCAGGGCTAAACCGTGCTTTTTCCCGTGGATTGCTTCCTGGTTTATATATATAGCTTAATGCAATATGTGGCACGTCAGGCTACTTGACTGTGTTAGACAGGATCTGCTTTGCTAGGCAACATCCCAAAATCAAGTTTCACAAGACTTATTTGAACATTGCATTTATTAACTCTCTTCGGACGGAAAATTTGATGTGTTGGTTGGCAATAAATAATAATCCCAACCATTCCCACAAATCCATGAAAGGGGTGTGGCATTTTCAAAAAGCAGATGGTAAAAAGCTCTAATTTATCTGAATTTTGTATTAATTTAGTACACAGATTATCCACAACAGAAATATTAAAGCCTCTTTACCCAGTGTAATTCACAGAGCATATTTTATGCTTCCTAAAAATGTCTTCTGAAATAAGGAAAAAACTTAAATCCTTGGATCAGGGTTATCTGAATTGTTGTTTGTCTCTGGGTTGCCATGGTACATAGGGATTTATTCTGACTGTAATTATACCAACGTAAATAAGAGCTGTTTCATTGCTATCAATGGTATATCAAATGTTCAGAATCAGATCTTCAGTGTCCTTCTATTGAAAGATGTCCTCTTTACAGGTACTTAGAAGCTACATCTAGACTGCAGGCTTCTTTCGAAAGAAGCTTTTCTGGAAGAGGTCTTCCGAAATAATTTCTTCCAAAAGAGCGCATCCACACTGCTAAAGCACATTGAAAAAACGACCTGCTTTTTTGAAAGATAGCATCCACACTGAATGGACGCTATCTCACATTTAAACTGTGATTACTATGGACGGAGTATCCACCAGGGCACTTGTGCTTTTTCCTCTTTTCTCTTCTTCCGAAAGAACTCCCTCTTCCCCGTCCACACACACACCTTTTTCCAAAAGAGCTCTTTTGGAAAAAGGCTTCTTCCTCATAGAAAGAGGATTACCAATGCTGGAAAAACCCTCTGTTCTTTTGATTTTCATTTGAAAGAATGCAATTGCTGTGTGAACTTAATTGAAGTTTTTTTGGAAAAATGCCCATTTTTCTGAAAAAATTCTGTAGTGTAGACATACTCAGATACACTAAATGGATGAGGTAATATCTTCAGGACCAATTTCTCTTGGCAAAAGAGACAAGTTTTCAAGCTACATAGAGCTCTTCTTCAGGTGTGGGAAATGTACTCAGAATGTTGCAGTTCATATTAATGAGCAAATTAACTTAAAAATATCAGTTCATTTGTGGCTTTCCATTTTTACTCAAGAAGTTTTTTGAAATCTATTTAAGTAAGGAATTAGGCTAAGTGAAAGCAGATCTAGTGAGACGGAAATTGCTAATGAACACCTGGTCGTCGGATCAATAAATTATTGCAAGTGGTCTATACAATTTGATGGTCTTCACTGAAGCAACAGATTCATGTTGGAAGAAAAGTAAAATCTGTTCCTATGTTTCGACATATTGGAGTTAGTTAATGTCTGAGGAGGATTTAAGCATCAATGAGCAAACCTTGAAGAAATCCTGTAGAGACAGCAAGGTGATGGCCTCTGTTTAGAGTGTAGGCATAAAAGAAAGAGGACCACGACACTGTAACATTCAGGTTTTATTCCTTTCTTCACATATACTATATGGTTGTGAGGTTTCCAGGACTAAAATGTAGGTCTGCAGCTCCTAAGACAGCCAGTGTTCCTATGGACCAAGCAGGAGGCATTGCAGAGCTACCTCCAGGGAGCACTGTGGAGATTAGGTGCTGCAGGAAGTACCACTCAAGAGAGCCAGAGTAACAGTTCCCTTTGGACCTCTGATTGGCCAGTCAGCCGATTTACTTTGCAGAGTGGTGTAGGACATTTTGTGGGCAACGACCCTGATTTTGGGCCTTTTGTGACTCTAGACTTCTCCTTGTCTCCTGATCTCTGACCTCTGATTCAGATCCTGACTCTTGCCTGCTCCTATTTCTGATCTCCAGTCTCCAATACCAACTTGACTCTGACCCTGATTTCTGCCTCCTGATTCCAGCTTGGTGCTGCCTCTTATCTCTGGTCTCTGACCACAGTCTGACTTTGACCCTAACCCTTGCATATTCAAATCTGTTCTAGTGAATCCTTTAACCCTTACTCATTGATTACCATCTCTGACCTGCAAAAGCGGCGAGGAGTCCTGTGGCACCTTATAGACGGAGGGTATGTCTACACTACAGAGTTAGTTCGAACTAACTTAGTTCGAATTAGTTAATTCGAACTAAGCTAATTCGAACTAACGCGTCTAGAACTAAAAACTAGTTCGAATTAGCGTTGTGCTAATTCGAACTAGCAAGTCCACATTGAGTGGACTCTGAACAGGGCTTAAGGATGGCCGGAAGCAGTGCCGGCAGGGCATCAGAGGAGGACTTAGAGCGTGGAGATGCTGTCTCAGGCTAGCCGAGGGCTGCGCTTAAAGGGTCCCGACCCCCACCCCGGACACACAGTTCTAAGGGGTGCCCCGCTTGCAAAGAAGTTCTGGCTTGGAGTGCCCTGAGTGCCCACACTGGGCACATCACACCACTCGGCCATCAGCCCGGCTGCACTTGCCGCAGGCTGCCATCTGGGGAGAGGGAGTAATTGGGGGGCTGCAGGAGAGCTTCCACCCCCAGAAGCCCGCAGAGCCAGCCCAGTCCTCCCCATCGGGGGCTCGTACCCCATTCCTCCCTCACCTCCTTCCACTTACCCTTCCCTAGCCCCCCTTCTTATTGATGTACAAAATAAAGATAACGTTTCTTCCAACATTGACTCTGTCTTTATTGAAAAAAAACTGGGGGAGACTGGGAAAAGGAGGTGGGAGAGGGGAAGAGAAAGGCTGGGAGAGGGGAGGGCAACTAACATGATCAGGGGTTGGGAACAGGTCCCAGATGAAGAGAGGCTACAGAGACTGGGACTGTTCAGCTTAGAAAAGAGGAGACGGAGGGGGGACAGGATAGAGGTCTCTAAAAGCAGGGGTTGGGTGGAGAGGGTGCATTCAGAAAAGTTCTTCATGAGTTCCCATAAAGAAGGACTAGAGGACACCAAAGGAAAGGAATGGGTAGCAGGCTTGAAACTAGTAAGAGAAAGTTGTTCTTGACAAAGCAAATAGTTAACCTGTGGAACTCCTTGCTGCAGGAGGCTGTGAAGGCTACAACTAGAACAGAGTTTAAAGGGAAGTGAGATCAAGTCATGGACGTTGGGTCCATGGAGTCCTATTAGCCAGAGGGTAGGAGTGGTGTCCCTGCCCAAAGTTTGTGGAAGGCTGGAGAGGGATGGCACGAGACAAATGGCTTGGTCATTGTCTTCGGTCCATCCCCTCCAGGGTCCCTAGGGTTGGCCGCTGTTGGCAGACAGGCTACTGGGCTAGATGGACCTTTGGTCTGACCCAGGACGGCCATTGTAAGCTCAGGGCTCAGGGTCGGGGGTCTCAGTGGACCCCCTTGATTTTCATGCACACCTGGTCCTGGGTGGCCAGGCTGGCAGCCCTCCTGCCCTAGACGGCCACTTTCCTGTGCCTAGTGCAGAGATC